GGTGGACATTAGTAACCACTAGGTGGACATTAGTGAACTAATGGGTGGACATCAGTAACCAGTGGGAGAACATCAGTAACCAGTGGGTGGACATCACTAACCAGTGGGTGGACATCAACAACCAGTGGGTGGACATTAGTAGCCAGTGGGTGGACATTAGTAACCACTAGGTGGACATTAGTGAACTAATGGGTGGACATCAGTAACCAGTGGGAGAACATCAGTAACCAGTGGGTGGACATCACTAACCAGTGGGTGGACATCAACAACCAGTGGGTGGACATTAGTAGCCAGTGGGTGGACATTAGTAACCACTAGGTGGACATTAGTGAACTAATGGGTGGACATCAGTAACCAGTGGGAGAACATCAGTAACCAGTGGGTGGACATCACTAACCAGTGGGTGGACATCAACAACCAGTGGGTGGACATTAGTAGCCACTAGGTGGACATCAGTAACCAGTGGGTGGACATTAGTAACCAGTGGGTGGACATTAGTAACCAGTAGGTGGACATCAGTAACCAGTGGGTGGATATCAGTGACCAGTGGGCGGACATTAGTTACCAGTGGGTGGATATCAGTAACCAGTGGGTGGACATTAGGGAACCAATGGGTGGACATCAGTAACCAGGGGGAGGACATCAGTAACCAGTGGGTGGACATCACTAACCAGTGGGTGGACATCAACAACCAGTGGGTGGACATTAGTAGCCACTAGGTGGACATTAGTAACCAGTGGGAGGACATTACTAACCAGTGCGAGAACATTAACAACCAGTGGGAGGACATTAGTTACCAGTGGGAGAACATCAATAACCAGTGGGAGGACATCAGTAACCAGTGGGATGACATTAGTTAACAGTAGGTGGACATTAGTTACCAGTGGGAAGACATTAGTAACCAGTTGGTGGACATTAGTTACCAGTGGGAGGACATCAGTAACCAGGGGGAGGACATCACTAACCAGTGGGTGGACACCACTAAACAGTGGGTGAACATCAGTATCCAGTGGGTGGACATCAGTATCCAGTGGGTGGACATCAGTAGCCAGTGGGTGGACATCAGTCACCAGTAGGTGGAAATTAGTAACCAGTGGGTGGACATCAGTAACCAGTGGTAGGACATCAGAAACCAGTGATGTGTCAGAGAGGTAACCAGTCAAACCAGTATAGGGTCAGTAACTTCATCAAACAGCTGGTTGATATATCGGTGTCTAGGTTTAAATTTGGGGTTGGGGTGGATAGTGGGATGGCGGGAGGGCGTCGGCCTGGCAGCAGCGACCTCTGACCCAGAGGTGAAATGTCGTCCCCCCCTCTAGAACTACAGACGGCTCCAGACAGATTTTATGGAGGACGACCACGAGCGAGTGGTGTCAGTGACCTCCCTGTCTGTTCAGCTCTTCACCGTCCCGACCATGGTGAGTACTCCTGCTCCTCCTCCTCCTCCTCTGCACCTCCACACACCTGTCTTTCTCTCTGTCTCTGTCTCTGCCTGTCTGTCCTTCCTGCTGGTAGAGTTATGAACGCTTGCAGAGTGACTACGTGACTGACGACCACGACCGTGAGTTCTCCATCACTGACCTGTCAGTACAAATATTCACCGTCCCGTCGCTGGTGAGTTCAGTCTGTCTGTGCTGTAGGTGAGAAATAACACGTTCACCACTGAAACTGAGCTGATGAACACATGAACATCACAACGGGACCAATCAATCTTCATTCAGCATTGTTTATTTTATACAGTGTTGTGATTTATTATCTCGACTCATCTTAAAACTTTGATTTATTTAATTTGTTTTATAAATCTATGACATCATCATCAGGTATGATTCATTAAGTTTGTTAATCCAGTTCTTTTATGGGTCATTCTATATAAATGTGTATCATCTGTAAATGAAATAAATCTGATCCACGTACAAACAGTGATGGGCCTCACACGGAGCCCTGAGGAACTCCACAAGTTCCCTCCAATAATTTATATGTACTATCATTAATCTGAGCAGATTTTAGAGGAAGTTACATCACCTGGGGGGTATTCCATCAAGCAGGCTAAAGACAAATCCAGGCTTAAATGGCCAAGTCTGGCTAATGTGAGCCAGAGTTCTGTTCCATCAAAGTGGCTAAAAATAGCCTCACATCGGTAACCATGGAAACCATGGTTCTGGCTAAGCCTGATACATCGAGCTAAACTCCGGTTTCCGTTCCATCAAACTGAGCCACAACTCCGTTCCATCAAGGTGGTTAACCTGAATCCCAGCCTAGTAACCATGGTAACTTATGCTGCCGGGCAATCCTGGTCTGTAGCAGGATTAAGGTGAGGATTAGCTCCATCTATGATCAACAAATGTTCAATAGACAAGAACAGACACCTAAAAGACAGTTCTGCCAGTGCTTTACACACTCACAACTGTCATGATAAAATAATATGTAGATCATAAAATATATAACATCATTAATCAAAAAAATTAACTATTAAAAAACAAATTAAAATGTAATAAAAATAAGATAATTAAAAAAACAAAACAGTAAAGCCAAAATCAATTTAATAAAAACAAAACTATAATAAAATGAAACTGAGGCATTAAAAAAAGATTGTACATGAATATGTGATTGCCCTCCCATCCCCACCACACTCTGGGCCGAATTCACAAAGAATGAACTGCGGCCGCTGATAGCACCTTGAATTGCACTTCACTTGCACCCGCAGTTTGCTCCGTCTTAACGTCCTATTCACAAAGGATATTGCGCTAATGATATACCAGCACAAACACGCCCACAAAGTTTGGCAGCTGAGTGCAGTTTGCCCCTGATTTGCCCCTGATTGCAATTAGCCACATGGCAAAGTATAAATGCTGGCTTTGCACCAAGAACACCGTGGCAGAACAATGGCAGACTTTGTTTGGCAAAGTACTGAATACTGTACCCTCATGTAGTGATGTCTGCTGGTGAGTCAGTCTAACAGTGTCGGATGGATTGAGGCTGTGGATTTGACCCAGTTTGACCACTTTATAACTATTCCCTCTCACTTGTAGCTGTTTTTTCGTTATCTTTTGAATTTAATATGAATTATGGAACCATTTTTGTTCACGTTTGTTTCCCCGGTTTCCTAAAACAAATTATTGAAAGTTGCTTTTGAAGTGTGTGACAGAAGTGCATTTTGAGAACGACCGCAGACTGTCACCTGTTCAACGCATCAGTATCTTCGGATGCCATTAAAGTAATAATGATTATAATAATAATGTCAAAATATTATTTACAGCCTGATTTAACAGACGATCACTGCTGCCACGATCACTGGAAAGTCTGGGCGAGAGGCTTCCACAGAGGAGCGGCCAGTTTGCACCAGCTTTCTAAAGACGTTATTTACTTTACTCAAACTGCATGTGGCTGTTAGCGCTGGTGTTAGTGAATTAGACGTTGTTTATCAATGAGGCTCATTTGCATAGAAAGGGACAATTTTTCCGCCAAATATATGCATATTACCTAATTTAAATATGTGCAAATGACACCGGAGCACCGAGACACAATCTGCTTGGCAGCACAGTTAGTGGAGCATTTCACCCTCTGCGCATGCTTTGTGAATTAGACGGTATCTCTTTGCTCCATTTTTACCAGTTTAGCGGCTGCAAAAGCCACGCAATCCTTTTGTGAATTCGGCCCTCTGTTTCCAGTTGGCTAGCAAATTCACAGCCAGTTAAGGTCAACTGACACCGGCCATATAAAGAGTGCATCCAAGAGAAGGAGAGGGACACACAGAGAGACACAGAGACAGAGACAGCAGGATATTCTTATATTTTATCCTGACCTGCTGCCAAGTCCTCCTCTGACTACTGAGCCTGCTTCTGTTGAGACATCACAGTGAGGGATGAAGATGGGACACACACCACTGAGGTCTGTCTGTTCCTCATCGTATAGCACATGCCATACATTTAAGGGGATTTTCCTTATTTTGATATAATCAGGGACAGAGCTCACAGTTGACTCCCAAATGATGAGAAATAGATAACTGATACACTCTCACCTGCATTCACTTAATAGTTTTCCTCATCTCCACTGAACTGATGGATTTGCTAAATGTCATTTTCTACAATCAATAGATGAATGTCATGTGATTATTTCCTATAAACTGATCATTTCAGAAATGTCATAATCTACAATCAATGATGTGATAAATGTGATGACTGATATAAAATAGTTTGATTAAATGCATCATCTGAACTTTACATAGGAATCAGTAGATAAATGTGATAAACAGTCTGTCACTAATATTAATTTACACAAATGGTAAATTTCATTAGGCAGACTTGAACTGTCAGATTTAAAAGGTATTCTTATCTACATATATTTTGTCCCTTTGATGCAGGATTTATAGAACATGATATTAAGCTGAAATGCTGAATTTTCTTTGTCACTTACACATTTAGCCTGTCAGCAATATTCCGTCATGCCACCTCCCTTGCTTTATTAATCTGCAGTATTGCCTTTGTTCCTAATCATGTCCTTATAGTCCTCATACACTTCCATAAGGAGCATTTGCTCCGCCACAGAAAAAGCCTCCGCTCGCTCCTTTCCTTTGCTTTTTGACACTCTGCAACATGTTCGGCACTCGACTAGTTTGGGCTTTTTATTTTCCCTGGGCGCGTGCATGAGTTGAGGCTTGAATTAGCGTCAGTTGGAGCCAGCTGATTTCACTTGATGGAACGGTTTGGCGCTAGATTGGGAGTTGGCGTTTAGTCAAACTTTAGACCTTAGTCTGGATATTCTTAGCTACGTTGATGGAATACCCCCCTGGTGTCCTTACAGCTCTGTATGTTCATATAATATCTGAGCGATGGTCAGATCTGTCTGATGAAGGTGACCAATCAGGACACATTAACTCACCTATGGTGTGAAAAATCAGTTCAGTTTCCCCTAAAGGACCGGCTGTGTTCTGTCTTGGTGTGTGTGTGTGTGTGTGTGTGTGTGTGTGTGTGTGTGTGTGTCTCTTTGTCTTTGTGTGTGTGTCTTTGTGTCTGTGTGTTTGTGTGTGTGTGGCAGGCTCGGATGCTGATGGTGGAGGAGAACCTGATGACCACCATCATCAGGACGTTTGTGGATCACCTCCGTCACAGAGACCTGCAGGGACGCTTCCAGTTCGACCGTTACACCGCCCAGCAGGCCTTCAAGTTCGGACGGGTCCAGAGCCTCATCGGAGACCTCAAGTTAGGATCAGTCACACACTGGTCACACACTGGTTACACACTGGTTACATACCAGTTGTTAAAGGTTTTCCTCAGTGGGTGTGTCAGATGTAATGAGGGAGGATCATATGTAGTCATGTGTAAAAGGTGGACTGATGATTCCTTAAAGGATAACTTTGGTATTTTTCAACCTGGGCTCTATTTCCCCATGTGTATGTGTGCGTTTGCACATTAAAAGTGCTTTTTTTCGCCACTGACCGGTTCAGATCACCAGTGCTATCTCTGTAAATAGCATACTAAGCGTTTCCCTGACCCTTCACCTCCTCCCGGCTGTGACGTCATCTCGCGAGAGCTTTGCCTGTGAGGCAAATTGTGATTTGTGATATTGGGCTTTATAAATAAATTGATTGATTGCTTGTTGCCGGAAGAAAACAGGGTACGATATATACGAGGGCAAAGTATGCAACAGTAAATGTGCGTCTCGGAGAAAATTCTAGGTATCAGTATTACATGGCCGCCTTCTCCAATTTATTTTGGGCACATGAAAAAAGGTATCCAGCACTGCCCTGTTGATCAGAAGGGGGAAATCCTCTAACGTAGTTACACAGCGTTTGGTAGTTTCTGTATCATCCCAGGACACATCGAGACCATGAATATTGGGCAACAGGTCCCACTCGCACTGCTCTTCAATTTGTTGGAGCTCCTCGTCCGTATACTCGGGCTCAAATAAGTACGGGCGGCCATCGTAATAAAAGGGCTCATCTTCATTCTCGAAATCTGGTAAATATGCAGCCATGATACAGATGCAGTAAAACTCTCAACTGTACTCCGGGACAACCAGCGCCACTCTGAGCGGTGCTCAGCATGGCTCCTCTATTTTCTTCCAGCAACAAGCAAAGCTCTTGCAAGATGACGTCACAGCCCAGAGGAAGTGAAGGGTCAGGGAAACGCTTGGTATGCTATTTACAGAGATAGCAGTGGCGATCTGAACCGGTCAGTGGCAAAAAAAAAGCACTTTTAATGCACAAACTTATAAGGGACGCATTTGCCCCCATATCTACCTCACGGCTGCCGGCTGCATCTGCCTCCCTCAATACTGAACCAGTTTTAGAACGAGTTGTACCTATGAATCATACGCACACATACACATGGGGAAATAGGGCCCAGGTTGAAAAATACCTAAGTTATCCTTTAAATGATCACAAAAACCAGGAACAAGCAAACAATGACATAAAGCCTCTGAAGACACGGAGAAGAGTTGCTGAGTTGGACAACAGGTTGACGGTGTGTCTGTGTGTCCAGGTACGTCCTCATCAGTCGTCCCTCTGAGTGGAGCCAACAGCTCCGAATCAAGTTTCTAGAAGGTCTGGACGCTTTTCTGGAGCTGCTCAAGTGTATGCAGGTAAAGCACACCTGGAGACAGGACACACCTGTACCTGGACAGGTCTGTCTCTGTCTCTGACCCTGTGTGTCTGTCTCTGTGTCTCAGGGTATGGACCCAGTGGTGAGACAGGTGGGACAGCATATAGAGATGGAGCCTGAGTGGGAGGCAGCGTTCACTCTGCAGATGAAACTGACTCACATCATCTCCATGATCCAGGAGTGGTGCTCCACAGACGTAAGACTGGACTACACACCACACTACACACTGTGTACTAATACTACACACTGTACTAATACTACACACTATCTACTAATACTACATACTGTGCTAATACTGCACATTATACTGATACTACACACTGTGCTAATACTGCACACTGTACTAATACTACACACTATCTACTAATACTACATACTGTGCTAATACTGCACATTATACTAATACTACATACTGTGCTAATACTGCACATTATACTGATACTACACACTGTGCTAATACTGCACACTATCTACTAATACTACACACTGTGCTAATACTGCACATTATACTGATACTACACACTGTGCTAATACTGCACACTGTACTAATACTACACACTATCTACTAATACTACACACTGTGCTAATACTGCACATTATACTGATACTACACACTGTGCTAATACTGCACACTGTACTAATACTACACACTATCTACTAATACTACACACTGTGCTAATACTGCACATTATACTGATACTACACACTGTGCTAATACTGCACACTGT